TCTCCCCTCCGCAGCTCCCCGCTGAGGTCAGCAGGGCCTCCGGCCAGGATGAAAGACACGAAGATCCCCTCACCATCTTCCCCCCCGACGATGTTGAAGCCCAGGCCAGTGGAGCCTTTGTGCAGGATGATTTTCCGGGGCTCCCTAGAAGGACAGACACGGGACAGGGAGACATCAGGGTGAGGAACAGCAAAGCTTGTGACAGGGTCAGCCATGCCCGGGCTTCCCAGCACACTGTCAGGGCTGGAGCCACCCTGAGTGTGACCTGGCACCGAGGAGGCTGATAAACCAAGAGAGGTGTGGGCAGTTGCACGTGACATGAGACAGAGCACGGACGGAGACAGAGCATCTGCCATGAAATCATGCACAGAAACATTGGACTGCGAGGCGGCATCAGACGTCGTGAGCCTGGGCATCGAGGATGGTGCGGCCGTGCCAGGAGAGGGGAATCAAGCCCCTCTGCACCCATGCAGCACGGCAAGTGTGCCTGCAACCCCACGCAACCCCATGCCACAGGCCCTGTGTGGTTCAACAGAAGTCCTAAATTTTTCGATGATGACTCAATTCTTTTGCAGCTCAAACAATAGGCAGGCAAAGGCAGAAAGACTGCCTGGCATCGCAAAAATCCTGTGTCAATTTTCGTCTGGGAAAAAAACCCAAGTCTGATGGGAATGACGGCAGCTCCAAGCTCAAGCGCTGGATTAAAATAAGAAGGAATAAATGACAGCAGACAATTAGCACAGGCTGCTGGCGACTGTCAGCCAACACGACAGTGAGGACCATCAGGGCATCCACTGCGGTGACCAGCTAGATCCCGGGTGCTCCGGTGCGTACTGCAAGGACCGAAGACCTGCCAGTGAGCTCAGCAGCCTGATCAACCCCACACCTGCTGGGGAGCAGTGGGAGATCTCTGGGACACAGTAGGAGAGATGCTGGAGCCCCAAGCACAGCACTGGCTGAGTGCACCCGTGCCAGACTCTAAAATGCTGGCAGACTTGTGCTAAGGCACCCTCGGGTGCCGGCCGCTGGCGACAGCCGGGGAAGGAGCGGGGCTCAGGCGGCATGAGCGGAGCGGGGACCCAGGGGAATAAAGTTTGGCTGAGCAGACAGCATGAAGCCCTGCAGCCCGGCAGCATGCTCCCAGGCCACTCTTGCAAGAAAACATTTTTCAGCCAGGCTGGAGCATCACTGCCATCACCTGGGCAGATGGGGGAAGGTTTTGGTGCTTTCACGGATGCAGGCAGCAAGATTTACCTTCAGGGACATGTGCCAGTACCCCAGGAAGCCTCCCACTATCCTTCCCCGTGGGGTAATCCGGATGGGCTGAATGTCACTTAGCTCCAGGCAACCACCTTATAAGGAGCAATAGGAGCAGGAGACTGACAGAAAAGTGCAGGACGCCTCGCAAGAAGGTCTTGGTGGGCTCCTGCCCTGCCCAGACCCCGGGCTCAGCACAGCCCGACCCTCCCGGCTCTCCCAGCTGCTCCTCTCCCCGTCCCCGCTCCTCCCACCAGGCACAGCAGCATCCTGGTCCCCTACCTCTGGTCATACTTGCTTCTATGGCCTCACTGCTGCTTGGAAGGGGACAGGGATGGCTGTCCCCTGTAGGACATGGACGACGAGACATTGATGGTGAACATTGTGGCGTGGCAGGCTCTGCTGGCGGCGCCGGCCAGGAGGCGCAAGGGGCAGGAATGTTCTGAATGCTCCACGCCACGGCCGCTCCGCACTGCCTGTCTCTGCCTCTCGCTGGCTGTGGGGGCCGC